ATAGTACTTTCCCCTAGAAGAAGTCCTTCTTGTTTTTTGAAAGAACAGACCTTTCAGTCTCCAAAGAGAAGGACTTTGAATTACAGGTTTTATAGACTTTCAGGACTTCTATAGCGGAAGTTTCAAAGAGAACTTAGGCCTTCTTTATGTATTTTTTAGATTTGGAATCTACAATTAGAACATATATTTTTCTTCCTTTCGTGATATGTGATTGTAATTCTTGTTATACTGAAAACCCTCACACATACACATACAAACATTAACAAAATGCGTAAAATACACACAAACACTTATCAAATACAAAATCTTTTTTCCTTTTTATAATTTTTTTGAAACTTAATTTAAACTTATATAGAAATTTATATTTTATTTCAATTTCTTTATATATGTTTAGACAAGAAAATATATATTTATGTGTGTGTAATTCAAATAATTATGGATTTCTTATATGTTATTTTATTAAAATAAAATAATTTATATATGTGTATATGGAATATTTGTTGTATTCTATTTTATGAAAGAAAAATTATTCAAATAAGTTTGTATTAATGTACTACTTTGTTTTCTGTTAATTATTTTATTTTCGAATAAAAAACAAGCAACCAAAAAAATAAATATGACTTTGAATTTTATTATAATGGGAGATATAAAGTATTTCGGGAAATTAATACAAGGACAAGTAAAATAATTATTAATTTAAAAAAAAAATCTTATTTTTGTTCTGGCCTTCACAAAAAATTAGGTCAACAAGATTCATACATATATATATTTGAAAAGATTAATTTTTCAATATCTCTCCAATTCCCTGTAATATGTCTACGTGTATAAAAAAAAATTTAACTGTTGAATTGTGGAAGCCAGTATGTTTGTAATAACAATCACCAGCAATCAATGATATTAACCCTAAGTTCTTATAATTTGTTTATATGTATCAATTTTCTTTATTCAAAAATAGGCTTTTAAGACGGCAGAAAAATCACTCAATTATTTTTAACGACAACAACAACAAAATATTAATGAATATTGATCGCATAGCGTCAGCATTTAAAGAAAGGGGTTTGGTGGGGATGTCACTGATAACTATAATAAAGGCACGCGTAAAAATATATCTAGATGTATGTGCGTACAATCCATCTGTCCAACATTATTTTCCATCAATTGGCATCTTTAATAAAAATGTAACAAAAAATTTGATTGCTCGTCGTCAAGATGAGGGTATATTGCGGTAGCAAATAAATTCTTCTTTAATTGAAATACTCACACTTAGTGTACAAATGAAATTGTTAAATATTTCGAGGCATAATAACACTGATGATTATTAAAGTGAGGATTTTCATTAAAAAATGTTAAACAATTAGTGTGGTGTGTGTGAGCGTGCGGCGTCGCATTTCTTTTATTACAACAAATTGATAAAAATTAAATCATTAACATTTTGCTGTGGTAATTTCTGCTGGCTGCCTGGCTGGCATCACCCATGAAATACTGGTGAAATTCATTCATTCATTCATTGTCGTCAATGTTTTGGTTTTTTGTTTGTTTGTTTACAAACATTTTGATTTTACTCACGTCTCTTAATAACATAGCCCCCATGGAGGGAGAATATAATATGGCTCTCGAGAGAGAAATTTTCGCTGTGAATAAAATATTCTCTTAATGGGATTGCTTGTTGCACTTGACTTTCTGATTCATTTTTTTTTTTTTTTTTTTTTTTTAAACTTGACGTTTCTGACTGCACGTAGTGCACTTTTGGCGCTAAAATGACAAAATACAAGTTTTTACTAACTAAAGGTGATACGTTTCACAAAAGCATCAGTTATATATGGGGAAAAACATTTTTAGAAAGCAAACTACTAAAAGCCTTAGTTTCTTCTAAGAAGGAGACATATTAGCGGAAGATATTTTTAGTATTCCTTAAGAATAAATATATAATATTTTATAGAAGATCTTAGGGTTGGCCCATAAGCAAGGGTACTCAAACGTCAATAAGGAGGAGGGTTTTTGGTATATGACAAGAATACCAATCTGATATTTTGAAGATTTAACATGGAAATCTGTAAATTACATCTATATTATATACCGATTCATCTTGTTTCTAAAATTAAATGGGAATTATTTTTTGTTCTTCATGCCATCCTACTTAAAGGACATTTAGGCTGATTTTTGAGTTTTAATCTATTGTAAGACTTAATCTGTTATTACCTGGTGAAGAATATACCCCAGAACCAATAAGAGATGACAGTATAGCATGCATACCTCCTGGCCAAGATGAGCTCAGAATAGCAATCAATCGCCTCAAGAATAATAAAGCAGCAGGTGCCGATGGGTGACTATCCGAACTATTTAAGACCGGTGGTCAGATGCTGGTAAGGAGCATGACGGTATAGCATGTATACCACCTAGCCAAGATGAGCTCAGAATAGCAATCGATCGCCTCAAGAATAATAAAACAGCAGGTGCCGATGGGTTACCAGCCGAACTATTCAAGCCCGGGGTCAGATGCTGGTAAGGAGGAGTATGCACCAGCTGATTAGTACAGTTTGGCTAGAGGAATACATGTCCATTGATTGGAACCCCAGCATCCTGTGTCCCGTGCACAAAAAAAGTGATGTATCTTTCAACTATAGAGGAATAAGTCTCCTTTCCATCGCATACAAACTGCTATCCAGCGTGCTGTGTGAACGAGTGAAGCCAATGTTTAATGACATTATTGAACCATACCAATGCGGCATCAGAACTGGCAAATCCGCCAAAAAATCCCACGAAAAAAATACATCGACACATTCGTTGACTATAAAGCCGCATTCGACTGGCCTATCCGTGCAGAGGTATTTAAAGCCATGTCTACTTTCGGCATTCCTGCAAAATAATACGGCTATGCAGGTTAACTTTAACTGACACAATGTCAGCAGTTAAAGTCAGAAATGACCTCTCGGAGCCCTTCACACGAGGATTCAGACAAGGTGACAGTTTGTCGTGTGGCCTTTTTAACATCCCGCAGGAAAAGGTTATACGAGAGTAAAAGGTAAACAGAAATGGCACTCTGTACACCAAATAACACATGTTACTCGCCTACGCCGATGACATCGACATAATGGGTCGAACATTGCGAGCGCTAACATCCACCTTTGAACAAATTGAGAAGGAGTCTGCCAAAGTGGGTATCACAGTAAACGGCGAGAAGACCAAAGCTGATGGTACCAACGCGCATGACGTCCAGTAGACTCGGACCAACTGTTGAAATTGAGAAGTCCAGCTTCGATGTAGTCAATGATTGTATATTCCTTGGTACCGCCATAAATAAAACGAATGATATCAGTTTTGAAATTCGGAAAAGGATAATATTGGCCAACAGATGCTACTATGGTCTGACCAAGCAACTCAAAAGCAACGCCACCTCCCGCCAGACTCAACTCACACTGTACAAGACGCTGTTAATACCCGTGCTGTTTTATGGATCTGAGGCATGGGTACTTACGCAAGCAGGGGAGATAGCTTATGGAGTGATTGAGGGAAAAATTCTCCGAAAGATATATGGATCGATCTGCGTTGACGGTGAATATCGCCGTCGAATGAACCATAAGTTGTATCATTTTTTCTCGAAACATTGGCATTGTCAGACGTATCGAGCTGCGGCGACTACGTTGGCTAGGTCATGTTGTAAGAATGGATGAATATGCCTCAGTTAAAAAGGCATATAAAAGCGAACCAGCCGATGGTTCACGTAGAAAGGGAAGCCCACGAATTCGATGGAAAGATCATGTGGAAGACAACATTGCCGAACGTGGCCTTTCAAATTAGAAAAACTGCGCGAAAGACCAAGGTGCCTGGAAATCCTTTTTTAAGTTCGTCTTATGGAACGAAAGTTCTGTCACAAGCCTTTTTTAAATGAGTTTTCAATCATTTCCGAAAAAGGAGTCCTAAAGAGTCAAAGTGGTCAGCATGAATCTTATTGAAGCCAGAGGGTGTTCTGGAAGAACAATGCCGTCGTGTAAAATAACATAATCTCTTCATATAAAGTTCCAGAAAATGATCTTATAGAAGATCAGAAACTCTTATAGAAGATCTGAAAAATCTGCAACAAGACTCAAATTGAAGATAAATACCCTGTGCAACACAAAACATAATTATCGAAAAACTCTAAAAAAATATGATGGAGGGGCTAAAATAGAAGATTCGCGTATCGGCATTTTAAAAGGTTACGTCGTCAGGAGGTTTCCTAAAAACGTGGGCAATATTTGAAAAATTACGCGAGATATACACCTTATCGTATTATGTTGCGTCATTTGTCAGCCACACGGGAATTGGTTTGGTAGAAAATTTAAGTCCACTGGAAATGGGTTCATATGGGTTGGCCCATTCCTACTATACAGCTCAGCTCACTTGTTTAACATTGGAAAATCAAGCCAATCGGGTAACAAATTTCGGGAAATAATAAATCAGTTGGGTATCCAAAGTTTTTTATTTATACGGATACTAAATAATTTTAATATTTTCAATTAAAAATCGATTCTACTTCACTTACATCTATTTGTTAATATATTGAATAAACAGATCCATATTTATTTTATTCCATCTGGAAGGAGAACAAAGTTAATTGAATGAATTCATGTCAGTGCCACATTAACCAAGAAAAACAACACTTCTCTTTTTCTGTCATTAAATATTGGGAATACAGATGGTGGTGGGTGCAGAGCACTAGTCCACAGAATATGAAATCTATTTTTGGAATGACATTCATTTAGTTCTGTATTCTCTTATTTTTTGTCATTTCTTTTCAGATGACAATTGTGAAATAGGCCATCATCAGACATCACTTAGTGAAGATTATGTCCATGATGAATATGAAGAAATAGAACATCATTAATGGGTTAAGGGTGTGGGTCATTAAAGGACGATTTTGAGAATTAAAAATAAATTAAATAAGATAATCTCATTTTATGTTAGCCTTTTCTGTACGCACTTCATAAAAATAACAACAAATTGCAGATAAAGAACGTGACTAAAATGAGAATAGTTTTGAATGGAAGTGTGTGCTGCTTATTCGAAGGAAATTTAGGAATATATGCGAATAACAGAAAGATTTCTAGATACAGATGTTCTATATCCGAAGGTGTCAGATAAACGGTAGAACTCTTAAATTTGGATTACTGATGGAGTATACAAGAGATGTACCAAAGGGTTCTTTTGTAAATTTGAATTTAAGTATCAGAAAAGTACTAAAATGTACTAAATTTTGTATAATTTCGTAGCATGTTAACGGATAGAGATAAAAACTTGAAATTTGGCATGTAAATCATGGTTGAGAAGTAGAGTCGATATAAGGAGGTGGTTTTGGAAGTGTGTACTTATGTAAAAGAAAAGTACTAAACAGTACTAAGTTTGGTAGAACTTAAATTTTGGAGAAATGGGTGGAGCTGGAATCCTGAATAATATATCTATTGATTTGTAGGATTGAAGTATGAATGTAGTTGTGAAAATTTGTGCTTATGTGTACTAAATTTGATACAAATTGATGAAACGATAAAGCTAGAATCCTGACATTTGGAATTAAGATTACTATTGAGTTGTTGAGGTAGGTAGTTATGGAAATGTCTAAAGCTCGAATCATGAAATTTGAAATTTTTGATTTTTGAAATAAGAAGAACACGAGTACAATAGGTAATAAACTGTACCAACTTTTGTACAGAGCTAGATTGCTGTTGTGCCGTCACTAATGTGGCTGCAGCACTCTAAGAGCATCTGGTCCATTGTGATCATCCATGAAAGATATGGAGAGATCTGTAGGGGAAAAAGGAGGGGGTAGAAAATATAAGAAGTTAAACAACGAAGTATGGTGAGGTAGGTAAGAAATAATTTCGATGGCTATAAAAATTCGGAGAAGAAGACATATTACGTGCTAAGGTTGCACTTTTCCAACCACTTAAAGTTTCTAATGATGCAGTAGATTAAACAGGTTCCATAGTTTAATAGAAGCTTAGACACGGTGAAAAGTGAGCACCCTCTAGTATGTGCCGTCTGTAGACCAGGACTGGACAGCGGCACAGGAGATGCTCAATTGTCTCCGCCTCCTCCTCGTCAATACAGAGTCTGCAGTAGTCAGTAGCATCATGGTCCCATTTACTCCTATCATAACTCTGATTTCAGCTTCACACAGGTTCAACAGCGAGTTTATTCTCTTGGTTGACAGAGTCGGCCAGAAAGATATTGACACATTGCACCTAAGTTTGTTGTGCTGGAGTTCATTGACTCGTTCGTCGAAGAACGCATCAAAGTTCCGAAAAAGGTGGCATATGGGTGGTTTGTTGCTAAATCGGTAGATTGAGATCCGCGTCCACCTAATTCGTCTATTTTTTCATTGCGCCCAACACAGCCGATAGCTGTAAATAAGTGTTTCCAAAAGTGTTCCACACTCGAGGACGACCTCAGATTTGATGTTACAGGATTTGATGGATTTAAGAGCGGCCTGAATATCCACAAATATAGTCGTCGGTTCAGCATCCAGACTGATCGCGAAGATTTCAGCTTGGAAAACACGAATATTTTGTTCAATAAAATTTGCGTTCCCGAACTTTTCAAATTATTTTGTACTCTGAGAGCGATTTTGAAATGCTTCCCTTTTACTAGCTTTACTATTAAAAAAGTACTGGAACAGACCATCTATCTATATGAATATCATAATGAATATCATAAAACAAAAATGTCTTTCTACATGTTTACAGGACGTCTTCGACCCTCTATACGAATTTTTCTATCTAAAAAATATCCCCTATACTCAGAAGATCGATAGAACCCCTTCTATGGAAGTCGGCTATTAGGTATATAAATGAACGAATGAAAACTTCTGTCGACAAATGTTCTTTAAACCCCTATAGAAGTTTTATGCCCTACGCCCTAAGGTATAGACTATTTGTCATTCCATTTGCAAAGTACAAGACGTTCGAATAAGACAGGATATTTTGACCTTGGGTTTTATCATTCTGATGAAAATTTATTATCAATGTTTGGATATTGAACCATGTGCATACTTTTTTTAATATGACATTTTTAGTTTTCAGAAGGTAAAATATCTCCGGATGGGAAACGTTTTTTATGACATTTCGGGTTATCAGATGATAAAATGCCTAATTCCAGAATTTGTTATTTGTTTTAAAATTATAGAATACCTATGAGAGATTTTCTATATACAGAATACTTTCGATCGTCAATGTTCTCCTTATATGGCCAAAAATTCCAACTTTCACCCAACACCAATTCATAGCATTTTAATGCATTTTTAAATTAATTACATTTTCAATTTGTTTTTCTGATAATGTCTTGCCACACTTTTTTTAAATCAATATTCCATAACTTTCTGTTTGGTTTGAAAACATGCCCCATTGGTTACAAAACAAAACCCCAAAGTGCACTGAACTTTGTTCGACTTTAAAACTCCCACAATGGAAACAAACCTAACACCTCTTTCCCCTTTTTCAGGTCTTTTCCAATGAAGGGCGAAAAAAGGGCATTGTTTACTTAAGATAACAACAAGTCAGTCACTCACCTACAGGCTGACATGAATAAACATACGCGCGCACACACATAGACACGCATTGTGATTATGTTGCGCATGCGGCGCATCGAATGTCAGCAACACAAACCTCAACAACAAATGTAAACGTCGAACTCTGAATCTGAATGTGAAATAAGAGATTTCCAAAAAATAGCCTATTTATGAGTTTGAATTGAATTAATTCAATCGTATTAAAAATTTAAATTTTAATATGATATAGTTTCATATTTCTTGCTTTACATGTGCCGTATTTACATTTTAAAAATGTAAAATAAAAAAAAAACAACAAACCAAGGGAAAAATACACCAAACTTGTTGAACAAGTTCCATTAAAATCACCCTAATGTTCACGCGCTCCACTCCATTGTTATGATTTCCCAAGGGATATATTATTTGGCTTCGCCTATACAAACCTACATACATGCGTACATAAACAAAAATAAATAATGCGTAGTATTATTCCATCCATGTCTCCATTTGCCATCTCCATGAAAAAGGAAGACAACCATAACCCCTTTTCTGTTTCAAATATTGAAGAACTGTACTCTCTCGTCCAGCAGCATCATCAACAATTCGGTTTTAACATAACAATGAGAAACCAAAACATTATATGTATGTAAATGTGTGTGTGAAACAACGCATCTTCAGGTGTTCTCTGAAAAAAATTAACATTCACTGTTATTTATTTGAGACCGGAACTGTAAGAACAGTAACAGAGACACATACACACACAAATGTATAACCCATTGAATGTCAAGTTGTCGTGATATACATACAAGGGAAAAGAGAGTAGCATAACCAAAACTTGCACAGTGTTTTGAAATAATACATTTATTGAATTTTATTTCAATGGTTATTTTTTCAACGGGTGGCGTAGCAACGGCTCTGATTGACTTTAACATGGCGAAGCCCAGGCTTATCTTGGTCCCTCTATCATCTCAATTGTGGACACTGACCTCCACGCGGTGTCACCTGGGGTAGCTATTTTCATCACCCGTTGAAATAGTGAGCTGATATGTGCCACGAGTTCAACCATAAGAACTTGCCCACACTCGGAAAACCTATCCTACTATGAAAAAGCAAAGAAAAAGAAAATCAAATCCCCTATCTGACGATTACACACTATATTATAGCTAACATGAAACAAGACATGAATTTGGCTGCGGATTTATGGTATATTGCTATAATCCGTATAAAAACGAAGTTCTTCTACATTAGTCTTATTTGCGACCATGCTCCGACGGAAGACAAAGATGAACAGACCAAAGGAATTTTTACGAGCGCCTAGAAACTGCACATAACCACATTAAAATTCTGCTAGGAGGTTTTAATGCAAAAATCGGAAGGGAAAATATTCTTGTGGCAGCCAAGGTTCGCACCCTTCTTAATGTAGCAGCAAAGGTGCGATCTAACACAACACGGAAACTCGATGTCGAAAAGCTGCAAAGCAGATGCCTACTCCGCTCAACTTGATCACTTGGCAGGCATCCTCCTGTAGAGATGAAGAAGGAAACCTGGTGACAGATAAAGACTGCGTGCTGAGGATCTGGAAGGAGCATTTTGAAAAGCTTCTGGTATCAAATAGTGGCGGTGAAGAAGATACCCTAAAACCAATAATAGACGACGGTATAGAGTGTATACCACCTAGCCAACATGAGGTCAGAATATCAATTAATCGGCTGAAGAACAATAAAGCAGCAGAATCCGGGTTACCAGCCAAACTATTCAAGACTGGTGGTGAGATGCTGGTCAGGAGCATGCACCAGCTGATTAATACAATTTGGCTAGAGGAATGCATGCCCAATGATTGGAACCTCAGCACGGTACACAGTGCACAAAAAAGAAGACAAGACGATATGTGGCAACTATAGAAGAATAAGTCTCAATCACTGAAGCCAATGGTCAATGACATTATTGGACCATACCAATGCAGCTTCAGACCTGGAAAATCCACCATTGACCAGATTTTCACTCTGCACCAAATCCTGGAAAAGACCCACGAAAAACATATCAATATTTTCCACTTATCGTCCACAATAAAGCCGCATTTGACAGCCCTATCCGTTCAGAGGTGTTTCAAGCCATGTCTGTGTTCGGCATTTCTGCAAAATTAATACGACTATGCAGGATGACTTTAACAGGCACAAGGTCAACAGTTAAAGTCGGAAAGGACCGATAATTATAATACCGAACGAGGATTCAGACAAGGTGACAGTTTGTCGTGTGATCTTTTTAAGATATAGTGTTGACCAACATATGCTACTATGGTCTACATAAGCACTTCAGAAACAAGGTCACCTATCGCCTGACCCAACTCACAGTCTACAAGACGCTGATATGGGTCTGAATCGTGGGTACTTGTGCAAGCAGATGAGGCAGCTCTTTGCGTGTTTGAGAGAAAAATTCTCCGGAAGAGATCTGCGTCGACGGTGAATAACGCCGTGGAATGATCCACGAACTGGAAAGATCAAGTGGAAGATAATATTGCTGAACATGGTATTTCAAATTGGAAGAACTGCGCAAAAGACCCACGCGCCTTGAAACATGTTTTATGAAACAAATATTCTGTCACAAGCCCGCTCAGTATGTAAATGTTGGATTAAATCGGCTACTCATCGGTTACCGCCTTGTTTAAAGAATGCATTATCTAGATCAACCCTAGTCAACACTGGCCATAAATATTATTAATCATCTCCCGGTAGCGTAATATATTCCCCCTTGGCTATTAATTAACCCATGGCAGAATACAACGGGTTCTGAAAAATAATTCCTGGTGTTTTAGAACACATAAAACAAGTCCAAAGGGGAACTGGGAATGGGCAATCATTTCAGGCTACCGTAGAAATATTCTCAGCTGTCCAAAGATGCGTGCATGAAGTCCTTTTGTTTTTCCGAACTGTAACTGCATGACTTTCCAACCTTTTTGGTGAATTTTAATAATTGCACTCCAGAAGGAGTGAAACAGGATTGTCTGGAAGAACTATTACGATGTCCAAAATTTGAATAAAATTCAATTCCATGCCACTGTGCATGTTTCTACACAGATGAGTAGCAGCACGTGGACGATACGATAGACTACTATCCCCCCAATGGAATAAACATTTCTATATGACGTCACAGTACATTTTACTGAGTACAGTAATAAGAACAAAACCAAAACATCACACACATACATACACACTCCATTATGCATTGTTTTGTTTTGGAAATAAGACGCAGAACCAAATTTAACGAACTAACAGATGCATTCAACATAAACAATGATAAGCAAAGTGTTCGTTCCATAACAAACAATTAATCTCACGCACTTTTCATGTTGCTTCTCTCTCGCTCTCACGCACTATTTTTTTATAGCGATAACAGCAACGAAGCCGTTAATAAACATGAAAGGTTTTGTAAAGCTTTCTAGGCAGGTTTGTATTGCCCTACAACTGTTATTGACAGAACTGAAAGAGAGAGAACAAGAGTATCGTCTCTGTAAAAGAGCATAAAAAGAGGCATGATTTGTTTGGTAGTGGTAAACAACTAAAAGCGCCAAGTTATCCAGAAATCTGTAGCAGTTGTTAGTAAAGCGTTGCTGGTTGTCTATCGACAACGGAAAGAAACGGCAAGAGCCGATATATTTAAACACAACAGAAAAAAATATAACGTTAAAAGAATTTAAATCCAAAAACGTCAAAAAAGAATTTTATGTGCTGTGAAATAATAATAAAAAAAGAAAATTAGAAATAAAGCCATAAATTGAAAGAAAGGGAAATTTACATTTGAATAGTGATTGTTGTGTGAAAACAAAAATAAATAATAAAAAAAACGAAAATATGACGGAGGAAGTGCCTGCAAGAGGAAGTATTTTAGGAAGTAAGTGAATGTGAAACCCAAAAAACTAAACACCAAGTACAAAAAAGGAAAACAATGGAAAAAATAGTAACGGTGATGCGAACAACCTCATACCATTTTGAAATTCGTAGTGAAATACAAAAGATAGAAGAAAAGACTTATTTTTGGATTGAATAATTTCAGAGAGTTTATTAAAAGAAATTATAATGGAATTTCATAATTTCGCCGCGGTTGTAACGTCTTAATAACATGACAAATGTCATAATACACGTGCGACCTTTTCCAAATATTTAAAGGTCATTAGAAGAAGTACAGGAGGGGAAACCAATAAGAAATCAGTAAAAGTATACACGCACAATCCACCATAACAACAAAAACAACACCCCACGCACACTTATCCTTTATCCTGTAGGACTTTCGGGACAACAAGGCGTATGCTTTTTGCAATCATAATCAAGTTATGTGTCTTCTTCATTTTCGTTCATGGGTGTGTAGGTGGTTGCTTGGACACTTCGGGTTTTTTATTGTATTTTCTACAAAGGTCATTTAGATGTCAACAGAGGATTCCGGCTGATCTTTTTAATTTAACTGTCAATCATTCATGAAATTCATTGAATTCGTTTTGCATAATTTGTTATGTGTAATGTTTTTGTTGTTGATGTTAAAAATGGTTAAAATATGTTATAGCCCATTTTGTTGAATACATTTAGAATACCAGCAGAATGGCGAATCGAATTGCTAATTGAAATGCACGGATACGTTGCAGTATCTACTGAATGCATATGGCCCAAATAATCGTATGGAATACATATTTGTTTATTTTATTCAATTTTTGTTTATTTCCATATGCGTTTTTTTAGCAATAAAACAGTGAAGCAAAAAAGTGTTACTTTTGTAAATTAAAAAAAAAAATAATGGCCATTTGGGCGGAATCGGGTTTATATTGAAAAAACTCGATTCTAAAATAAATATAATGAAAAGCTAGTCAACGAAATTTGTATGATTTCCGAACATACGTATGTAGGTATGTCAACAATGATATGTTTGGAATAAAAATATCCGAAGCAAAGAAGAAAACAGGATAAATCTTGACGATTTTTGAACATATGTAAATAGATTAATTCTTCATAAAAATATCCTTCAGTCACCCTCCGCCATATGAAAAATTTTAACCGTAACTTTTGGTACTCTGGCAAGAAATTTTTCTTCAGAATAATCGGAAAAAAAATTCAATCTCAAAAATTTTGTTTTTTGGAAACCATCCCAAGATTTTGTTAACCCAGTGTGTTTCAATTGTCAATTCCTTTGCATATACGTCAAATAAATCCTCATAAAGTAGGTTAACCCAGTAAAAAGTTCTAATGTACAAGGAGTTTTATATCCATAAATATAAATGGATATACATTTCAATTTTACTGATTTCTGCCCTACTAGAGTAGTTTTGACTTACCTGCACAAACAACATTCGCAAATATTTCTGTGCAGGAAAGTCAAATTTGCATTAAAAAAATAGTACTTTTGTCTGGTTTGCGGCGATGTATAATAAATTAAGACTGTTTTTAAATTGATATTACCAGTGCAGCTAAATGGGGAAAATATTCTGTTAAAAGTCAACGATGACCAGATAAATATCATCCAACAGCGACCATAAACATTAATTAATCATCACCCGATAGCGTATTCCATATATCGCAATCTAACCTCATTATTAAGGCCCAATGACCCAGATGGCGATGGTATACAGGCTACTCTACAATAACTCTTGGATTTTTTGGCATAAATCTTGATCCTGAGATGTTATTCGGAAGGGCCATAGCTTAAATATCCAATTGAAGAGGCTATATTTAAAATTTCAGGTTATCACAGGATAACAGGCTTAATTGTAGACAATGGCTGAAATTTGAAGTTCTGGGAAGGAAAATTACCTTCTTGCAATAGATTTTAAAAAAGTAAAAACGATGTTTTTTGTACCCCCAAAATATCTAAAATTAATGAAGACTGCTAGGAGAAATCTCATGTTATGATTGGACTTTGAAATTTATAACAAATTGAATGTCAATGCTCCATTTACAAAAAATCGGAGGAAAATATATATGGAAGCTATGTCTAAATCTGAACCGAATCCAACAAAACTTCGCATACATCAATCTGGACCTAATTTAGTACTCTGTGCAAAAATTTGTTTCAATCGGACAAATATTGGCAGTATGGTGCTACATTTACATTAAATCGGACGAAAATATATATGGAAGATATATCTAAATCTGAACCTTTTCCAGCGACACTTCGCATACATAAATTTGGACCTAATTCAGTACGCTATGCAAAATTTTGTGCAATCGGTCTAAATTTGACTCTTTGGTGCTCCATTTACATAAAATCGGACGAAACTATATATGGGTGCTATATCTAAATCTGAACCGATTCCAACAAAACTTCGCTACATCAATCTGGACCTAATTCAGTACCCTGTGTAAAACTTTGTCTCAATCGGAACAATATTGGGATTTTGGTGCACCATTTACATAAAATCGGATGAAACTATATATGGGAGCTATATCTGAACCGTTTTTTCCAATTTCAATAGGGTTTGTCCTTGGGCCAAATTACACTCAAATCGGATAATAAATGCGACCTGTAATTTCTTCACAAAAATACATGGTCGTTTGGACGGACATGCATAGATTAGCTCAGAAGTGATTCTATGGATATTCTCAAAAGGAACCATAGGTCTATCTCGATTCCTTTTGCTGTTACAAACATATGCACAAAGACATAATACCCTGTACCATAGTGTGGTGAAGGGTATAATTAAGCCAATTTTGTTTTGTCCAAGATCCCCAAAATTCAGATTATTGCGGGTACCGTTATAAGGGGGCTACCCTGAAATTTGGGTCAATGTTAATATTTTTTGTGAGAATACAAAAATACCAAATTATATCCAATTCGGTTGAAAAACGTATCGAAAATCCACAAAATTCCAAAAATTGTGGTGTATCCTTTTATGGGGGCTACTCTGAAACTTGGCTCAATATTAATACTTTTTGGATGTGAGATTTGACATCCAATTAGAATGAAAAATGTCAAATTGCAGCCGATTTGGTTGAAAGACGTGTTAAAAATCCCCAAAATATTTAATATTGGGGGGTACCGTTATATGGGGGCTACCCTGAAATTTGAGTCAATATTAATAATTCTTAGTATGGAGATGCTCCATACAGTGAGAACCCAATATTCCGAATTACAGCGAATATATAGGAGCTACTCGGAAACTTAGGTCAATATTATTTGAATGTAAGATTTGACACACAATGCGAGTAAAAATATCAAATTACAACTAATTCGATGAATATTCAAGGTGTTGCAAACGAAATGACAAATTTAATATACACTTCACCTTATGGTATAAAAATAAAACGCCTACAACCACAACATTATTAATGTGTGTTGGCATTTTGGTTCGTCGAAGACAAAAAAGCGTCTGAAGCCTGATAGAATATTTTCAAGCCAGGTCTATTTTATGGCATAGACAGCCTCAATATAAGGATCCACATGGTTTTTATAAATTAAAAGACTATAAACTCAATTGTTTAACAGATTCTCAATATAAGGATCCAACATGATTTTATGAATTTAAAGGTCAAAGCCTCATTTTCCAACGAAACGATTCTATTTTATGCATTTTGAAGGTCATGGCCGGAATTTTCGCCCAACTTTTCTTTCTTTTTTCTCATCTTGTTCTCTTCCTTTTAATTATTCTGTATTTGTACACCCTTCATATTTTCCTCTGCACCAGAGCTTGGTTACATTTCATGACGTTTTCTCAGATTTATAAAAGGGGCTCCTATATGTAGTTAATTATTAATTACGATATATGCCGACTTCAACTAGAAATTCCGTTCGAGTTAATATAAAAACACTTGCGGTTAACCACAAGGCTATTTCGGGCAGAATAAACGAACATATTTTTTTATATAAAATTGATTATTTTCACAGACATGTAATGATTACTATATATTTCTTTAATTTTGTCTAGGTCCATATGCGACCATGTTCCAGAAAACCAGACATGAGTTTATTTTTAAAAACATTATAATAACATTTGTAATTGTGTTTCTAGGTTAAATATACATATATACATATGTTATCTTTATTTTGGACTATACTGTCCACGCGAATCATTATGACCATTTGTTGATAAATCATGTGTTCTCCACTACCTAGGGTAGTGATGCCCAGACCTTTTATCTCCACATATTTTGTTATCGCAGGGATTAATTTGCTTTGTTTGATTGAATACCACCAACCTTAACAATAATTTCATTAAGGCACTCTAATCGAATATGATAAATATTTTTTTAATGTGATACGGAAGTAATGTTATTGAAAGGTGGTCCGACATAAAAACCAAACATGCACCTGTTGTACTCATGTTGGGGGGTAATAATTTTTTCTAAATGTGGAATAACATTTTTACTAAATATTTAAAAGAAATTGGTCGAGTTTTAAAATTTATTATATGATATTATTAATATAGTTCCATATTAGACATATCCCCTTTAATTCACATATCTATAATTTCCAAACATTTTCAATCTCCAGGGGTGGTTTGATTTACAATAATATGTAGATGTGATTGTTAGCTGAAAAAAATCATAACTAAGCACGTGCTAATAAATTTCCTAAATAAATATATTTTTCAAAAAAAAATTATTAAGAATTTTTGGATGTTTGCCAACAAAATGGGAAATGTGTATTTGTGATCAAATGATCTCAAAATTATATGGAGGAAAGTGTCACGAAAGTGAAACAAAATTAACGAACTTTTTAAGGAAGATCCAGAATATTATTAATGTCATTTTCAGTGTCATTAAAAAGTCTGCAAACATATTTTAATATTTTTTTATTAGAATATTTTATATTAGTTGACATAATAAGACGAATGTCTACTACAAGTACCCCATTCTTTCGAAAAAAAATCCTTCAAGTAATCTTAGAAGGTCACTAAAATCAAACGTTCAAAGAAAAAATATATATAGAACAAATTAAATTTTCAAATGAGAGGTCGGAGGAGGTACTATTTGGTACTATCGGATGATGAGAAAGAAAATAAAATGCAATTAAAACCCCAAAGAATTACTCTTTAAAATACAGAAAAGCGGAGGGTACTAGCGTATTTGTGCTAAATCATTCTTAACTGCCTTGTGACAGAACTTTCGGTCCATAAGCAGAGCTTAAAAAATATTTCCAGGCGTCGGTCTTTTGCGCAGTTTTTCGAATATGAAATACCATGTTCGGCAATGTTGTTTTCCACTTCATCTTTCCACCTGATTCGTGGCCTTCCATTTCTGCGTGAGCCATCAGCTGGTTCGCTTTTATATGCCTTTTGACCTGGAGCATCTTCTTCCATTCTCACAACATGACCTAGCCAACAGCAGCTCGGTAAGTCTGACAATGCCGATGTACGAGAATTGATGGTACATACAATTATTGAGTAAACGAACATACCTAATATCTGTAAGATCTATTGTGAAAAGGAATATATATTAGCTGATTGGTTTGAAGAACCTGGATGTTAATCCTCAAAATAATAATTTTGTAGATATTAAAATAGGTCACTACCGTCAATGACGTGAACATCTATCAAATGAATCACAGCGAGAGGCATCAATAGGTTGGCAGATATAAGGTAGATAGTCAATCTTTTGCTCCCAAATATAAAATAAATTAAATTCCCTCATTCACCACTTCTGTCCAATATTTAAAGGTACTTCACATTCGAATGCCACAAAAACATCTCAATTTTATAATGAACAAAAAAAATCGACAAATCCACAATTATCGTAAAAAACAAAATAATTAATTATATGTTTTTTATTACCGGAAACAAGTGTAGCATATCGGTATAGCATGTAAACTATCTGATTTGTCACATCACCCCAAAATAGCTTTCAATTTTAAAATAGAATATAATATAATATTACTTTAGATGTTTAGATGTTTATTATTACATCCTGAACAATAAACAGGTGTCACTTATTTTGTATATATTTTTTGTCCAATATAAAATAAATATTTGAATGGAAATCTTTTAATGACAGAGCATTTGATAGGGGTTTCCAAATTTAATTATGCAGCCATATTCTGTACATCATTTCACCGTGAATGTGTTCGCTCTTCTCTTTAATGTTATTCTGAACCAGAACTCGCAGCGAATTTTTTTCGCATTTTTACTTCCCCTTATTTTGAATCAAATTCGAAAGCGAAGTAATTCACTTTGGGGAAAAATTAGTTATTTTGGATTACAGGGAGTGGGGAATGGGATGACATTTTGTGCGCATTGTTTCGCTAATAAATTTAAAAGGAGCTGAATACAAAAATGTACGTATTAAATATTTTTATGACAAATATTTACACAATATTTATTCTATGACGATTTTGAATATACTGAATATCCAAATTTGCCATGTGAGCCGCCTAACAGTGAAAACTCAAAAAAAAAAAAAAAAAATATAAAAAACCAATAATAAAAATTCCAAAAAATATTTTTTTCTTTCAAATTTATCGTGTACATTATTTGAAGGACGAAATAATTGGTCACTTTTAGAATTTAAGGAGATAAAGCATCGAAATTAAATAAAAAAAGCACTTCAAATATGCGGTACCGTCTATAGTACATATCAGTAGTGGGTAAAGCGTCTTTACATGTATATATTGTAAATAATTAGCCTCCTCCCTAACCCCTGTAAATATTCCTTGCCTCTAATTCCCTTATGTCCTTTTTCCCCAACAAACCAAGCCAAAATGTCCCATTACAATACCTCATAAACCAAATACTACACACTTAATGGTCAAAACATACTTGCAATAGTATTTGCCCATCCCTCTGAATGTCATATTTCCTTACATTTCAATAAAGGAAACACCTTTTATCAATCAGATATAAATTCCTCTACAAAAAGAGTTCAAATGGAATTCACAATTCGTGTATAAAACAATAGCTGAACGTGTAAATCCTGAAAGTCATTTAAAGGACTGTCATTAGATTTTATGGGGGTGAGGAGACACATAACCCAACCCTTTGGCATGATATTAATGGTTTAATTCGCTTCTAATTTTTATGTTTCTTTTTTCTTTTTATTCTCCTTTACAGAATGTGTGCCGGCTCGTTATGTCTTGGCGGTGTTGGGTTCAATTGGTATGGCCATTGTTTATGGCCTGAAAGTAAATCTTAGTGTTGCCATGGTGGCTATGTTAAATCATACAGCGGTGGGACATGGTTCACATGGTGGTGGACAAACATTATCCAATTTAACCGACCAACAAAGTGATGTGGAAATTTGCTCACCACCTGGTGGAGTTGATGCCAATGCCACGGCCACAACTGCAGCGGTAATTATAAATGAAATATTTTTCATTTAAGACATTTTATTAAAGTTTTTGTTTCTTTTTTAGGACGGTCCATTTGTATGGAGTGAACCCTTGCAGGGCACCCTTCTCAGCTGTTACTTCTGGGGTTATTTGGTCTCACAAATACCCGGTGCTCGAATTGCTGAAAATTTCTCCGCCAAATGGGTGATGTTGTTCTCGGTGGGCATTAATGTTGTGTGCACCCTCTTGACCCCCGTTTTAACGGAGCTTCATTATGCCGGTCTTATTGCTATGCGCGTCTTGGAGGGTGTTGGTGGTGGTGCCACTTTCCCAGCTATGCATTGTATGATTGCTGCCTGGGCTCCACCAAATGAACGTTCAGTCATGTCGACCATTATCTATGTGGGAACATCATTCGGCACTGCAATCTCTATTCTATTGGCCGGTGTGCTCTCTGCCGGTTTGGGTTGGGAATCCGTTTTCTATGTTATGGGTGGCCTTAGCTGCGTTTGGATGCTGCTCTGGACTATTTTGGTGCAGGATAATCCCAATAAACAAAGATTCATTAGCCCCGAAGAGAGGCAAATGATTACATCGTCATTGGGCAGTGATCAGCAACACGGTGCCAAGGAAGAACATCCACCAGTGCCATGGAAGAAAGTGTTTACCTCGGTGCCATTCTGGGCAATTTTGGTGGCTCATTGCTGCAACAACTGGGGCTGGTACATGTTCCTGATTGAAATTCCATTCTACATGAAACAGGTGTTGGCCTTCAATGTCTCCAGTAATGCTGTGGCCAGTGCTCTGCCCTATTTCCCCATGTTGATTTTCAGTATGATTTTGGGCAAATCCTTGGATAGTCTTAAGGCCAAACGTAAGTGTTTATCTTCTGTATAAAATTCTTAAAATATTAAAAATTATTTTGGTTTTTATTTGCAGAAAAAATCAACACCACAATTGCCCGTAAAACTGCCACCAGCATCTGTACCATCATTCCTGGTATTTGCTTGTTGATCCTCTGCTATATTGGCTGCAAACACACTGCTGCTGTGGTGGTCATGACCGTGGGCATTGTTGCCATGGGTGGCATGTTCTCCGGCTTCCTTTCAAATCACATTGATATTGCTCCCAATTATGCTGGTACCTTGGTGGCTTTGACTAACACCGTGGCCACGTTGCCTGGTATTATTGTACCACTGTTTGTGGGTTATATTACCAAGGGAAATGTAAGTCATAAATACTACATACATATTTGAAAAAAAAAAATAATAATATAATTTAATTTTTTTCTATATAGCAAAACATTGGAGCCTGGCGTATTATATTCTTTGTAACCATTGCCCTGTTCTCCATTGAATTTGTGATTTACACCATTTTTGGTTCGGGTGAAGAACAACCCTGGAATAAGACAGCACAAAAAACAAATGACCCTGAAAAGCCCGCCGTCACCGATGAAAGTACACCATTGAATGGTGGAAAACCATCGAATGGCACAACAGCTTAAATGCATGGACCCCAACCAGGATGAAATTTGTTGATGTTATATTCTATCATGACAACATATACAAGTTACTCAGCTTAATTGTAAAAAAAGAAAACGAAAAAATGAGATTCTTAAAGTATTTTATGGACAATTTATTTTTTTATACTATCCAAACAAAATGCTGTTAACTAAGGTTAGGCCTAGTATACTACCTCCAATATTAATTTATATATATGTAATTATATTTACAACATAAAAGGAAAATAGATAAAAAACCTGCCGCCTTCGTACTTAAAAAAGAAAACAACACAAACAAATCAAAAACCAAATGAGTCTAATTTTAAATATATGTACTTATTTTAAGTTCTATTAAATATAAATAAATGTAAAATAAACAAAAATATAACCCTACAAACTTTCTCGCAATAATACAAGGTAGGGTGTATCGAGGAGCCTAGTCCCCTGGAATATGCTAGTGATCAGAATAGGACTACAAATGAAATGACCGTTAAATAACAGGTCGTGTTTTCTGTAACCTAACCTAAGATATGAAAATTTGTACTATAAGTGTACGAAACGTACTAAATTTTATCGGATAGCTAGAATCTTGTTCATAGGTATGGATGGGGTTGGGCTGAAATAAAACTTGTTTGGTACTATGTACCAAATTACTAAATTTGGTACCGTCATTATTGGCTGAGCGAAAAGACTGGAATTTTAAGATCAAGTTTCCGATAATTGATATAAGACATAGCTTATGTTAATCAAAAGATACTCTAATGGCAACATTTTCAAGCAAACCCAGTAAATATATATTTGAGGGGCGTGAATTGTGTAGTCACAGATGAAGGAAACATCCCAACAGCCACATAACACCCTTCTGGATTGTACAAGGGCAGTTCGGAAAGTTTTTAGCCTTGCACAAAAAGCGCGGTATAAACAGAAAACAGTTGAATGTTTTAAAACGTCCATCTCTGTTATGAACACATGTTACATTTTGTTTTTATCTGGCAACTTTTTCATATAGAAACAGTACACAAAAGACACATCCACAGATTTTTACAATTGAAAAGTTTGAATTAAGTGTTTTCATTGTAAAAAACGATATTTTATCTCCGCAAATTCTTAAACTGGCCAATTATTTTATGATATGGTGGAGCATGCATCGGTATTAATAGGATTTCCAATTGCATTTTATTTCTTGTTCTTGAGTTAATATCGTGATAGAATATGTATTATGAATATATTTTTCATAAAAATATTTAATACATATATTTTTGAAGTCAGCTCTTTAAATTTATTACCAAAAAATTTCGCACAAAATGTCATCACATTCTCCCACTCCCTGTAATCCAGAATAACTAATTTTTCCCCAAAGCGGATTTTTTGCTTTCGAACTTGATTCAGAATAAGGAGAAAGTGAAAATGCGAAAAAAAACCCGCTGCGATTTCTGGTTCAGTATAACTTTATAGGGAAGAGCGAACAAATTCACTGCGAATTGAAGTCCAGAATAAGGCTTTATTCTTTTATTTATTTATTCCAAAAACTATAATTTGAAGCCATTAAGGCCAATTTCAATTTAATTTCTAACTATACTACTCTATGTAACTACTTTTCAGAACTCTAATTTTCCCGCCCTCAAATAGCCATTACTTTACGATACTTCATCGACTAAACACTTCATTAAACATCAATAATATGGCTACGCCTCGCACACACACGCACACTCATGACACAGCTGACTAACGGCCTAAGCACAATCAAAACAAACAACAGCTGTTCCCATCTCAGAGAGCATGCATGCATTTGTTATAAAACGCTAAACTAAACATAAAATTTATTTGAAATAGAAAACACCGGATTTTGGAAAATGTTAAAAGCCCGCAATCTACTTCTGGTGCCACACCGATGGAAAGGTGGCAAAACCCGATGGTCAATACAACAGAAAAAGAAAAACAACACCGACCGAGCATTGGAAAATTTCGATGATTTCTATGGTTCTGTATTTGGGGTACGATGGAGAAATATAAGAGCGGCATTGTTGACTGAAAACAAATACATTGCCATGGTTAATAATTTTGGAGACAATGAGAAGACCTGCAGTCGTATGGAAATGGATGGTGTGTTGATGAAATCTGGATTTTGACCAAGTGCTAGCTATTAACAATTCTAAAGAAAAGTCCATTGGAATAGTGGAGTAGACTGGATGCGGAAGCTCCGGCTTAAGTCAGTTTAAAGTCTGGGCGCGGATTTTTACCATATGTAGTGATTGACACCCTAATATACTAATATACTTTTTTTCTTGAGGAAATCTTTTTTTCCGGAGTTATTGGCCTACAAAGTTCCGCACGGGCCCTTCTATTTTCTCATAAAAATAGAAGGGTCAAGGACTAGCTATGGTAAACCTTTCAAAACGATCCACGACCTGGCTCTTAAATAGACTTCTTCCCCTATTTTAATCTAACGATCTGAATAGAGCTTCTAAATTAATCTTGCTCTTGCTTCAAATGTAGATTTCTTATTTTTCACCAGAAACATTCCCTATTCGTTTGTTTTACATTACCAATTACATTTCTTAATTAAGTGATATATTTTTTTCTCTTCTTCAGGAGCAATAAATGTCAAAGCTTTGGTTGAATTGGCCAAGGAAAGGCAAAGTGGAACACAACAGCTGGACAATAATAGAAATCAAAATTCTCAAGTCGAAAATAAAATGGATGCCTTTGCAAAGAAACAAAAAGATAAAGAAATACATTCGCTGTACCCTGAAAATGCTCTGGAAATACAAGTACCAGAAACCCTCGAATACAACTCAACAGCAGCGGCCTCAGAATCAGAATCTTCTGCGGAACAAAACAAAGAAACGCCCCTAAGAAATATAACACAAGCTTCTGTCAGCATTGATCATTCACGTATTGTAGATCCGGATCATGGTACCGGGGCTCTATATGATTTTATACCCGCCTCAAGTATCAAAGGCATGGAAGATTGGATACCCGAATCAGATCATTATAAATACTATCAAACCAATGCCGATTTTCCATTACAATTTGAATTGGAACAAGATTTTGTATTTCCCGAAAATCTAGCCTTGTATACATATGAAATGGGAAATTGTTCTGAGTTTCGGCCACCAAATAAATGTTTAACAGGTAGCTGGCATATTTTTTATTGAGAAACAAAAATTGAAATTTTTGAACTTACCACTTTTGGATATCTTCCTTGCAGGTGTCTTGTCCCATTATCTCATGGATGGTGCTTCAATTCTACCACCTCTATTGTTAAATGTCAAACCCGGGGAACGGGTCCTAGATGCCTGTGCAGCTCCGGGAGGAAAATCACTGCTAATGCTTCAAACTTTATATCCCGAACAATTGGTGTGTAATGATGTTATGGAATCGCGTGTTAATCGTATACGTAAAGTTATGAAGGAGTATTTGTTTGATTTTGATGAACGTTGGCTGGGCCAACAACGTCTGGTATTGAATCAATGTGATGCCCGCAATCTGGATGATTATGGTAGTTATGATAAGATATTAGTGGATGTGCCATGTACAAATGATCGACATTCTCTAATGGAAAATGATAATAACATTTTCAAGCCAACACGTGTCAAAGAAAGGCTTAGAATACCCGAGCTGCAGGCAGGCATATTGGCAAATTGTTTACGCCTTCTAAAGCCAGGTGGTAGTTTAATGTATTCCACCTGTTCACTGTCACCGGTACAAAATGATGGTGTTGTCCACATGGCCTTGCAGAAGGCCTTCAACGAAGACGGCCTCACATTTGTGGTTAAAGATTTAAGTTATATAACACAGCTGTTTAGTGATATTTATCGTTTTGAATATCCAAAAAGTCTTAAATATGGACAAATGGTTTTGCCATATTTGCCAGCAAATTTTGGACCAATGTATTTTAGTAAAATCACAAGAACTGAATAAAACTTCAATTGTTAATTAAAAAGAGTGTTGAGAGTGATGAGTTTGAATTTACACTTTCTTCTTTTTCTTGGGTTTGGGTGGCAAGGGACCAGGTACTTTGAAGACAGTACTGGAAATGAAAAAAAAATTAAATTATTACTTTACACGATTTATTTAGAAAATAAATATGGTATGTTATCGTATTCAAGAATCTACTAATTTTTAATACCATAAAAATGTTTTCTTTACGATATCGGAAAAATAGTAAAAATTAGATTCTTGCAGTACAGAAACAAACCAATAGATATGAGATTAGAACATCAGTCGGGATTTTCGTGGTAGCATAATTCAAAAGGTTTACATTATACCCCAAAAATCAACTCTCTCCACAAAGAAATAAATGCTGGATAAAATTTTAGCATTCAAAAAATTTTGTCTTTAGATAATTGTTTTTAGCAATGGTTTAATTATCAGATATCTAAGCGTTAAAGCTTCAAATGTAACAGCTACCGAAATAACTGACAACTCAAACCAACACACCTTGTTGAAAAGCGCCATATTTAGAACAAAGTTCAGAACTACCCTTGGCCACTACAGTTCACTACAAATCGAGCAGTGTTCCTGAAGCAATAGTCAAATATAACACTTCTTTTTTGAAAACCATATATATGAGGGTTCTGAAGTATCCTATATAAATATTCCACTACAATCCCGGCTATTTCTAATCTAAACAAATGTCAAAAATACTTACTGGCATGTGGTACATATGGGACTAAATTTACAGAATACTGAAAGAGGACAGTAAATTAATTCAGCAATTTGTAGATATAATCATGATTATCATCCCAACTTACTTGATAAACACACCGAACAAACATAACCAATATCAATCATTTCCCGATGACAAAAACATGCAGCTCTATAATCGACTTTTGTGGGTGGCGGCAAAACAAGCATTTGTCTTGTTTTAGGATCTGGCAGAAATACCCATAACAAATACTGTAATAAACCATCCAGCTGGGTTAGACGTAAATATTGACCACCAGTAATGTCACAACCCTGTTGCAGCAAACTTAAGGACTTATCCAGGGCACAAACATCAATAACAATGCCGAGCTTTTGTGCGGTAAAGAAAACATTCATATAGGTCATATATTGGGAAGCACATTCATTGCTACCCGTCAATACCAATATGCGGGAATTAATTTTCACACCAGGTTGGGCATTTCGTTGCATCTGTAATAATTAAGATAAATACTTAAATACCTTAAAAATCTAAATACTTCTTAACCACATTTTACCCTGGCCACATAACACAAAGCCATTGACATACTTCCCGCCAAAAGACTCTCATTGGGTTGGGTTATTTTCGGGGCATTTGTAATGATATGACTGAGCCGTTGCTTTACGGTTTTCTCCACCAAACTGAAAACTTCATATTGACCATCAACTTGGCGAACTTCCAATTGCTTCACAGGCATGGGATACAGGAAATCTCTGAAAGCAAATGTTTTGATTTAAATAACCATTTAAAGTTTCGAATTTTTATAACTTACGTTGCATGATGATGACAGGATATCACGGCTAATTTATTTTGTGCCTTTTGCATTAGATGAGCATTTCCAAATGCCACTGTTGCATCCAAACATTGTGATAGATTGTCTGGATTTTGGCGCACTATACGTTGGGAGGGATTTGTGTCCAAAACAATAACCAATAGGCTAACGCTTCCACTATCTGGAAATACGTATTTAATTGTTATTATTAATGATTTATTTAATTAATTATTAAACAAACCATCATTTTCAGCAGCCGGCTTTTCCATTTTCCTCTCTATTCGCTTGCTTAACGTCGTCGTTCTGCCAAGACTCAAACGACGTCGGACGTGAAAAAATTGAAAAACGTTCCACCTGCCAACGAATGGGAGGCCTATAACAAGATAGTTGTGCCAGAACAGCTGTTGATGTTATAAGCTCTAAAAAGTTGCTATAATTTAATATATATGAAGATATTTGTTTTTCGCCTTTTAGGTGACCTATTGTACCATGGGTGACCTTATCCAATTGGCTTTGGTCCTCGTTTTAGCAAAACAATTTATGTTGATGTCAATCGCATCTGTTCCTCATCTTCCCTTTCAGCCTACACATCCCTAATACAGAACATTAACGATCGTTAGAACCCTAGCTGACTTTGATAAAAAAACAACAAATCTGTAACTTCTGGGCGTTTTTTCACACAGATAAATAGAAATATTTACAACTTTAAATACCATAAAAACATTCCTAAACCTCGCCAAATTTGAAAATGTTGGTTTTAGTTTTGGGCGATTTACACATACCCTATCGCTGCAGTAGTTTGCCAGCTAAATTTAAAAAGTTTGTATTACTTCCCCATCCCATCCCATACACTTCCTGCCTGATTGACTCAATATTGTTTTTACTTTTCAGACTACTTGTACCCGGTCGCATACATCATATTCTGGTTACTGGCAATCTATGCACCAAAGAGTCCCATGACTATCTGAAAACACTGGCCAATGATGTGCACATAGTACGTGGCGATTTTGATGATAATCTTTCATATCCCGAACAAAAAGTTGTTACCGTTGGCCAGTTTCGTATTGGTCTGTGTCATGGCCATCAAGTTGTTCCTCGCGGAGATCCCGAGGCTTTGGCATTGGTGCAACGTCAGCTCGACGTTGATATACTTATAACCGGGCATACGTACAAATTTGAAGCCTACGAACATGGTAATAAGTTTTACATTAATCCCGGTTCAGCCACTGGTGCTTTTAATCCGTTGGACACAAATGTAATACCATCATTTGTTCTCATGGACATACAAAGTTCAACTGTTGTAACATATGTCTATCAACTGATCGGCGATGAGGTTAAAGTTGAACGTATCGAATATAAGAAAATGTGAAATGACAACGAGGCGGAAGAGGAGGAGTTTGATGGGAGCAAAAAGGTTCGATGGTATAAGGAGTTTAAAGTATAACAAAATTAACGGAATAGATATGTTTTGTTTTTAACTGCTGCTCGCTCTGTATGACACGTTGTATAATACAGCATTTGGATATACAATTATGTATCTGTATGATGTGAATACGTTTATAATATACATATGTATTTAATAATTATAATAATAATAATTATAAATAGTATTTTTTAATAATAAAGTTCTAATATAGTTGCAAACTATGTAAAATAAAATTCGAGACTTTTTATTTGGTAAAGGGACTGTTCTCCTCCGATTACTTATCGGACTTCTGAAGTCATCCGAAGTATACATCTCGGATAATGTGAAGACGAATTAGAAATGACCGCCCACCTGTCTAGTACTCAAAACCACATTTCGTGAGTAGTAGCTGCGCAAAAAGAAAGCAGGCAGTTCAATCTTATGTTTCCTAGTAGCAACTAAGAAGAGAAAAGTCTTCCACCGGTAAGACAAAGGTCGAACACCAAAACGCAATGAGACGACAAATCATGAATCAACCTAAATGATCAATGAGTAATTATCATTGACAAAACTGATGCCGGCAGATCATTTTTCAGCGGACGAGGTCGCCATCAATACTTACAGTTTGTAAGGGAAACCTCCTATAATGGGATCAACGTCATAATCTGCGGCAATAAAAGTCTGCTGACTGTGAGCTGAAGGTCTTCTGAAAGATGAGCTGGAGGTATCCTTGGAAACCCCTTTTTTATTAATCCACGCCTATTGAGGTCCTTGAAAACCCCTTCTTTTATTAATCCACGCCTATTGAGGTCCTTGAAAACCCCTTCTTTTATTAATCCACGCCTTTTGATGTCCTTGAAAACCCCTTCTTTTATTAATCCACGCCTATTGAGGTCCTTGAAAACCCCTTCTTTTATTAATCCACGCCTATTGATGTCCTTGAAAACCCCTTCTTTTATTAATCCACGCCTATTGAGGTCCTTGAAAACCCCTTCTTTTATTAATCCACGCCTATTGAGGTCCTTGAAAACCCCTTCTTTTATTAATCCACGCCTATTGAGGTCCTTGAAAACCCCTTCTTGTATTAATCCACGCCTATTGAGGTCCTTGAAAACACCTTCTTTTATTAATCCACGCCTATTGAGGTCCTTGAAAACCCCTTCTTTTATTAATCCACGCCTATTGATGTCCTTGAAAATCCCTTCTTTTATTAATCCACGCCTATTGAGGTCCTTGAAAACCCCTTCTTTTATTAATCCACGCCTATTGATGTCCTTGAAAATCCCTTCTTTTATTAATCCACGCCTATTGAGGTCCTTGAAAACCCCTTCTTTTATTAATCCACGCCTATTGAGGTCCTTGAAAACCCCTTCTTTTATTAATCCACGCCTATTGATGTCCTTGAAAACCCATTCTTTTATTAATCCACGCCTATTGATGTCCTTGAAAACCCCTTTTATAAATACACGCCTATTGAGGTCCTTGAAACCCCCTTCTTTTATTAATCCACGCCTATTGAGGTCCTTGAAAACCACTTATTTTATAAATCCACGCCTATTGTGTGTTTTTAACATGTTTGGTACTCAAGAAAATCCTAAAGCGGCAACTCTATTATTCAACATCTGCACCCAATTGCAGCTCTTGCAGATCAATCTGCACAAAGATCTGTATAACAAAATATTTTGAGAAATCCCTAACGCAAATAATCGTCCATTGCGCGTCGTAGAACAAACTACTGGAAATGCTACAAAATATCTTTAACCGAGACACCGACCACTAGGAAGGCATGACACAATATCTCTGAACTATATGCTATCTAATATAATTATACAATGTAGGTATCCTCTATATAAACTATACTCACACAGATATCCGAAGAATATGTTAAAAATTTTAATCTTGACTTGTTCAAATATTTAATTGAAATTGAGCCTGTTACACAGTTTTTCCTTTGATGTAAAACATGAGAAGAATTCCCATGTATAATGTTTCGAATAAAATTTCTAACGCTTCGGAAAAAAGCTCAAAGTTTAAATTCCGAATTTATACTTTTGAGTTACTATTTTTATTTGCCAAAAAAATAATGAAAATTAAACAAAACAAAAATACAAATAAAATATATTATTTATATTAGAGTAAAAAAGAATTAAAATTTAATAATACAAGAAAATAAAGACTAAATAAATAATATAAAAAAAACAAAAAAAAATATTATTTAAAATTGGTTGAAATACTTAATGACTTTTCTTTTGGACCACAGTCGAAAGAACGGACAAAACTACAAAAGAGTTTATTGTGTGTTGTAGAACTTTTTGTTTCTTTAATTTTTTTATTTTATTATTATTATTAATTTTAGAATAAATATTTTTTTAAAAGATTTCTTGTTGCTATCAAAAGTGATTTGTTTGTTTTAGTATTTTATATTTCTTATGCAATAATAATGATTATATGTTTTAGCAAATGTTTTTTTATTTTGTTTTGATTTATTGGCAACTCTTCTGGTTTCAGAGACGTTAGTATAAATACGCCATCTTCTGGGTGATGAATATGATGTTGTTGTTTTTGTTTTCTTGGGGCATGGTGGTGGTGCACATGTGCAATAGATGCATAACTGGCAAATGACAGATGCGTGGATTGTTTAACCAAGGCTATCAACACAAACAGTCTTCAAGGTCTTGCCACTAATGGTGGTCTTAAACTGTTCAGGCAAAGGCAATTCCGTCTGAAAATAAAGGCATAATGTTAATAAATAGTTCATTGTAAAATAGAAATAATAGAACTTACATAATCTCCATTATCATCGACAGGCAACATAACATTCATTTCGGAAGATTTAGAGCTAACAATTTCAACGCCCAATGAATCCTTGGACAAATACATTTGACATCCATCGGTTTTATCAATCGAAATTGTAGGCACATTACCCAACACCTGCATCTGTACCGATTGACAGTTGACAAACTCCACGGAGGCCACAACCGAATCAAAGAGTAGAGAACATTTTTTGCAGGAATCAAAGACAATATTGTTTACTTTGCCCTTAACGGTCAATGTGGAACCTTCCGATCTGAACACATAGACAACATTGTTCATTTCAGCGTTCTCAACAATTAAATTGGGATTGTTCTTTTGATATTCAATCAACCATTTCTTGCCATCACGGGTGAATACTGGAGGTTTGGCCACCTCAACGACGGGGCCCTTAGAAGAAACCGAACCTAATTGAGTTGTGGGTGCTTTGAAGGGTGCTGGCCCGGTGCGTAGAGTGGGATTTTTGTGTGTCTGCATATCAGCAGTGACCTTTTTCAAATCTGTGGAAGTAACAAAAAAAATGTATAATTTTTAAAGATGTATATATATATATATATTTTTTTTTTTTTTTTTTGAAAAATAATCGTACTTTTGGTGATATTCTCTCCTTGATTGATTTCCGCAAACAAGGCGCTACGTTCATCTGCCGAACCACCCTCCAATGACATATTGGACATGTCAAATGTTGGTGGAGGTGGTGGGGGAGGACAACCACCCATGGGTGGTGGTGGTGGAACAGCACCCGATGCAGGTGCGGCACCCTTGCCAGACCATACTAAACCAGTAGTATGATTTTGTTTAATATATTGTTGCAATTCTGTTAGAGTTTGAACCCAAGCACGAGCCCATTCAACATGTGTGGCATCCTTTTCCTTCCATTCTTTCAATACACGATTGGTATAGAATTGACCGGCATCGTTCATTTCCTTGACATGGGGACCGGGTGTGGGAGACTGCAAACAAAATGAAATAATTCGGGGTTTGAAATTAATAACAACAAAATTGGAAAATATTACAAATTCAAAATGAATAATTTATAGGAACTGGTTTATATGAACTATACCAAAAACTGTGGAGGAAAAATGAATCATTATATGGAGGATAGGCCTAAATGCGGGCCGATTACAAAGATGACTGAAGCTAGAATGATTACAAATTTCAGCGAATTCAGCTGAAAAGCGTGCTCAATAACCCCAAAATATATGGGGGCTACCCGAAAGAATGGATCTATATTTATATTTTTTTGTGGAGAAATTTGCTACCCAATAAGAGCTCAAAGTACTAAATAACAACGAATTCGAGCTAAAAATCCGGTCAAAACCCTCCATAATACTTAAAATTGGAGATACCCTCATATGGGGGCTACCCGAAAAAATGGACCTACATTTTTAATTTTTTGTGTAGAGATTTTTTACCCAATAAGAACCAAATTTACACAATTTAATCAAATTCGGTTGAAAAACGCGCTCAAGAACCCCAAAATACTGAAAATTGGGGGTACCCTCACATGAAGCCTACCCGAAAAAATGGACCTATATTTATACATTTTGTGGAGAGATTCGCTACCCAATAAGAACTCAAAGTACTAAATTACAGCCAATTCGGGCGAAAAATGCGGTGAAACCACCCCAAAAACTGAAAAAGGGGGGGAGGTACCGTTATATGGGGGTTATATATTTATAATTTATAGTGGAGAAATTTGGTACCCAATAAGAACTCAATATACAAAATTTCAGTGGGTACCCTTATATGGGATGTATGCCTAAAAGTGGACCGATATAGCCCATCTTCGAACTTGACCTGCCTACAAACAAAAGAGGACTCTATGCTAAATTTTGGCGATCTATCTCAATTCGTTCAGAGGCTAGAATGATTATAACAGACAGAGGGACGAGCACTGCTAAATCGTCATAGAATTTTACGCCGATCAAGAATATATATACTTTATAGGGTCGAAAGTGATAATTTCGATGAGTTGCAAGCGGAAAACCAAAATTAATAATAGTTTTTTCTGGATAAAAAGAAGGATGAATTTTTTATTCTAGTTAGAGCCAGTTGATATAGACAAAAACTTCCTAATGGGAACATTTTCATAGATCTGAGACTTGATGAACGTCTGTGGTTGAGGATTCAGTCTTAACCAATTTTTTAGAGTTCTTTATAACCAAAGCCTATAAAAGCCTATATGTATGATTTCTTTAATATTTGTAGCAGCGACTTGGCCAGAGGAAATGAAATTTTTTCACAGTAAATTTATGTTTACAACAGCGATTTTTGTACTAGCGGGTCTCCCGAAATGTAATCCTGTTTACGTTCCTGATTTGTAGGATATTTTTCATAAAAAAGTTGTATTTTATATTTAACTTACCACACAAACCCAACCCAAAGCCGGGATACTTTCACTAATGGCTGACAAATGATTGAAGAATGGTGAGGCACGATTCTTTTCACGGAAATCCTGAATAGCTGTAATTTGATCTGATGTTGGTTTCAACAATTCCATTTGTTTGTTTTGATCGGGCTTGGAGCATTGTGTGGCCAAGGTGACATATTGCAATTGGGCACTAAAAAACCATAAACCAAAATTATAAAAGTTCTCAAATTGTTTAATAAATCAAAACAAAAAAAACTTACTCAAAAGCCTTTTTAACAAAATCAGCATGCTTGGCAACATCGCCGCCAATTTTGGCTGACAATGCCAAATATTGGCTCAATGGTCCATTGATAATATCCTGATAACCCAAAACACTCATGCTGAGTTCTAGTGGCGGCGGTGGTGGTGGCAGAGATGAGAAATCGTCTAATACCGTGGGTATATTTTCAAGGCTACCGTTGCGCTCCTGGTCCTGGTCCTCTTGTTGTTGTTGTTGACTATCACTATTACTGCTAAGGCTGTGACGTTCGTTAATGCGACTCAACGATTCTTCGATGCGTCCAATCCGCTGATTTAGTTTTTCCGTTTGTAAATCTACACTGGAATTGGTTTCCTCGGGAAGAGTGGCGACACACAACGACTCGGTTGTTGTTAAACTTGCACGCTTCTGTACAGTATCAAAGGTACGATTGGCAATATCTAATTCACGAGCACTTATAGAACGTTCTAGGCGTTCAACTAGCTTCTCCAAACGATTGACCAATGTCTCAAGATTTTCAGCAACTGAGGGTTTTAGCGAGGGATCACAATCTATTTTGAAGGAGGAGGAATAATAATATAATAAAATTAGTAAAATAAAGTATCATTTTGTTTGAAATAGAAAGGGAATGAAATTTGAAACATAATTTTATTGAAAACAATGTGCAGTTTGAAAAGATTGAACGGGGGAATATAACAATAATAAAACGCTTGATTTTTAAATGTGTGTGTTTGTTATAATACATGCTGGAATAATAAATACATATACAATATTATTATTGTAATTTAAATATATATATATATATTTGCGTATTTATATATAAATAAAAAATCTATAACGATATACAAAGTCTTAACATAATAAATATTCACATAATGTTTTAATAATAACGTTTATTCAGGAACATTTATTTTATATGAATTAAAATTTGTTTATATAAAATAAAACAAAGCAGGAAATGTATGAAAAATATATTTCGGTGTAAAGTACGAAAATACTGATCTTTAGGAGTTAATAAAATGAAAATTTATTTATAGACGATTTCACGGTATTTCAATAGCTTTCAATTTAGAACCTTTCCTTCTTTCCCGTTTTACAATTTACTAAAATATTTGAATTTATTACACAAATGGTGAAAATCTTTCAGCCAGCGAATGGCAAGACGAGAAGGGGGTCTTTATTGACGTGCTGAAATCAATCTTTATAGACGAGCTCAAGAACTGAAGGGAATATAGTCAGCCTTATTCTGGTTATCAATTCACCATGCCATGAAAAAAGGCAATAAGGAATGTTTAAGACTAGTTTGATGCTATTTGGAGGCGAAATAAAAACATTTTGTATGAGGATCTGTCTCTCCAGAAAAAAAAATTAAAAATTATGGAAAAACCACATAGCCAAATTTGCCTGATGAGCCGCTTAAAAGTGAAAAACTCCAATAAAAATTATGAAAGTACAAATTTTTCTTTCAAATTTATCGTGTGCATGATTTGAAGGACGGAGGAGAATATCATAAAATAATAGGCCACTTTAAAATTTGTTGTTGCTTAAGAAACTGCTTCGTAGAAAATCAGCTGAAACAAAACACCTGACAACAATTGGTGGAAAAGAAAATAAACAAACAAAAGTTGTGAGGAAAATCATCGTGTATCATCAAGGTCACAAACAGAAAACTTAAATCTTCAATCTTTTAAAAACAAAATCTTATTAAAAGTCCATTTGAATATAACATTTAAACCACCACACCACAAAATTCAAATAGAAATTATGGTTTTTTAATCTCAGATTCTTTTCAATTAGTTCTTCTTATTCTTTTGTGAAATAATAATCCACCACACTTTGCGGTAACAAACTTTCACAATTTCTAATTCAAGAGCGATAGCGAGATGTTGTTGTGTGTGTTTTTTTTTTTGTTGTTTTACCTGGATTATTGCAATTCTTTATGTCGTGAATAATTAAAGTTCTGCCATAGCAAGAACTAAGTGTTTGACCCATTAACACCGACTAGATGATGATAAAAGTAAATTTTGAATTAGAATACACAACTGCATTTAGGAAATAGAAATAACGATGGAATAGAAAAACACTACTCTTTTCAGTACAAGACCGAACTTTACAATTAATTAAAAAAAGAAATATGAATAATATTTCTTTTTTGAAGTGAAATGTACACGACGCTTTTTAAGCCGCAATGACAACGATGACGACCGACCGAACGATAGCAATACTGAAAACAAAAACCAAATCTTGTTCATTTCAAAAAAAAAAAGAGTAAAAAAACTTTTTGAAAACGCCACTACTACCTACAACACTTGTACAACAACCATGTCACTGGGTGGCTGACTGGCTGGCTGATTCATTACAAATATGTGTGTCTGTCTGTTTGTTTCAATATAAAAACAAAATATATAATACAAATACATTCAATTGATGACAATGTTTTTTCTTCACTTCATACATAAACAAAATATACAATTTTATATAGATATATTTAAATGTTTGTGAGTGTCTGTGTGTAATTACGGCTTCTTCACTTGTATCCGCTGCTTTCGTTGTTGTTGTTACAAACATTAATGGTCTGTTGTTCTACTGTGACTTTTTTCTTTCTCAGTAGTAATTATTATGGATAAAAATAAACGAATAAAGCTTCTCACTTTTATTTTTTTTTTTTTTTTGGTAACACATACGTAGGTTGGTCAATAAGCTTTTACATATGCCGGAAGGCGATCGGATTAAATGGGGAAATATTCAGCCTCTTATTCTGGATATTCGCCAGGGAGAGATCTCACTTGTAGAACATTTTTCACTTTTACATTCTCGCCTTATTCTGAATAAATAGGCAGAAGCAAAAAATTCGAGATGCGGAATCGAATTATCGATTGTATAATTATGCCATGATATTTTCCTTATTGATTTTTTTAATTGTTACTTGAAATATCAATACTGCTTTGTAATAAAAAGAAAATAAATTAGAGTTTGAAAATGTGAAACGGCTGTTTATTGCTTTTATGCAATTTGCTGCAAAAGCGGATTTTTTGGCTTTCGAATTTCATTCAGAATAAGGCGAAGGCGAGAATGCGAAAAAATTCACTGAGCGAGTAAATTCACGTGGAATTGACATCCAGAATAAGGCTGGTTGTTTTTGACTTGAAAATATTCACACAATTATTTATAATATTAAAAATCGTAATAGAATAAGTATTGTGTAGATATTTTTCATAAAAATATTTAAACATTTATTTAAAAATTTGCAAAAACAATATATATATATATATATATATTTATATTTTTGTAGTCAAAAATGTCATCACATTCCCCCACTCCCTGCAATCCAGAACCAGAACAAACTAATTTTTCCCTAAATCGAATTTTTTTTCGCTTTCGAACTTTATTCAGAATAAGGGGAAAGGGAAAATGGGAAAAAAATCCTTGCAAGTTCTGGTTGAGAATATAACTTGAAAGGACCAAGCGAACATATTCACTGTGATTTGATGTCCAGAATAAGTTTGAAAATTTCATCACATTCTACCACTCCCTGTAATCCAGAATAACTAATTTTTCCCCAACGCGGATTTTTTCATTAAGCTGAATTGATATCTAGAATAAGGCTAATTATAAAATTAAAGGATTATTAATTGTATTATTTAAAAAATTAAGGTTCTCTTGACATGTTTTTGAGGACCGATTGCGTTTCATATCTACCGCAAGCATCCTCGTTGGGAAAATCCTTACTTCCCGAGATAGGGACGATCTAATTACTATAATGTATTTTGTAAGTAGTCGCATCGAAAAACTATTTAGAATTGTTCATTTAGTTCATTTCTAAATATAGGTTATAACGATGGTATCTAAAGGTCCGTCGCAGCTGGAGCTCATGAAATCCAAAGAATTACTGTTGATAAGTTTCTCTATATTCTGAACGTGTATATGTATTTTATACGGTTTATTGAGGGCCTCAACGAATCCTTTTGGCTCTCAAAAACATGCATGTAAAGGATATGGTCTTCTAACCGTACACTTGGTTTTTATTTGGCTAATTTTATTTTAAATAATTATCGGCATACTTTTTTCTTTATTTTTTATTTTATAATTTATTTCGATAATTGCCAATAACACCCCTGCTTTTCGGGATAAACGAGAATTATTTCCACCAACCACCACTTTGTTCAGTCGATCTATTAATTTTTTATTCACTTCATAAATAGAAAATTCTAGTAACGTATTTTTTTGCAATACACTATTGAGTTATATACATTTCAGTATAATATTAATGATCACAAAACTTATTACACTACCTTCATATAAAATCTGACGTACAAAAAAAAAACACCCATTCATAGATAATATATATTTTTTGTTGTTGTTTCTTCTGAATTCATACATAAAAATAGTAACAAATCGAAAAAAAACAAACATGAACATTTCAAAGAGCTTTTTGGTACACAATATTCCTTGTATATTGGATTTGTAATGACACACTAATAGATTGAATTAATGAAGTTAAAAACACCACCACTATTATTCTCAGTTGTTAACATTCACATGACATACTTACGTCGTGTTTTGGTAGCAGTAAATTGTTTTTAATACAATACTTAAAAAACTATATATAAAATATTTAAAAAATTCTTTTAAAAACAGAGTCTTCTTTAAAGCGTTTTGTATTTATACGGTGGCTGTTGGGTATAAAACTAATTTAAAAAAAACTGACCGGTTGGGTTTGGTTCTTCGTTCACTTTAAACGGAAAATGCGAACACAACTTAAACCAAATACTTAAAAGACAGAATGCCAAAATACGACGATAAGATAAACGACATTTATGTGATTAAATAGCAACAAAACGATGAAATAACAACAACAAGAACATGCATAAAATAATTGAATTGCAAAAAGAATGACTCACAACAAATAAAATAAGGTGTGTGAGTCAAGTTTTTGGGGCGGTGGGAGAGAATGAGAGATTGAGAGTGTGGTGGCATAAACAACACATCATTCATTGAACGAGAAGAGTACAACAAAATCACACAAAACCAAAAGGGAAATATAATCGAATAGCAAATTATTGTAGAAGAAAATGCCGGTTAAATATGTATTAGAGAAGAACAACACAACAAAACAAACTCATTGACAATTTTCTGTGTCAACATTATAAATAATGTATTATTGCAATCTTGATGTATTTTTCTTTTTACAATTTGGAATTCTATTTATAAAAGTGTTTTGTTATTGTCTGTCAGTGTTGCTGTTTTGTTTTTCTTTATTTGAGATGACATACAAAAAGTGTAGAGTGTGAAATTAAGAGTGGGGGAGGGAGGGTGATGGTTGATTTTGAAATTAGTGATCCCACTTGT